AGGTAAAGTGCCTGATATTTAACATAGGAGTTAGCAGAGACCAAAAACAAAGAAAATTAATATTGGACTTCCATTTGTCAGGTGGCCACGAAGACAACTTTCAATAAATGCTAATGGTGCTCCAGTTCTGCCTGCATGTGTAACCAGGCAACAGCTTGCTAACACATTTTCAATCAGGTGATTGTTGTGTCTCCAGCTTGCTGTGCTGCTCCCAAGTGGCCACCATTTAAATTAATACAATTTGAATATGTTTTTTTTCCCCCCACTGACCCCCAGGTTGAGAATCACAGCTCCACTGATATGTAGCTGTGAACATAGTTGAGATTTTTGTCTGCTGCACACAGAATGTAAATGACATCAAAAAGTCTGCCTTTCTGAAACAATGTTCCAGTTACTGTTAGTCATCACTGTGAACATTTCATTTAAACACTTGGAACTTGTTACGGAGCGTAACTTGGGCGCTGACAGATATTTCACTATTAAACTTTTAGATGTGTTCTGTACCATATTCAAAATTCGATTCTACTAAATTGGGTAGGCAGCAGAAATCATAAAACAAAAACTATCTGCGTGGTTAGGAGATATTTAGATTCTTTTCAGTTCAAGGTCCTCTGTCCATTTGTCTTTTGGTTTTTATTAAGAGGAACAAAAACCCTGATTTGAGTGATTGATCTATATAAAACCAATGTACTCTGCTTAAACTGAAAATCCAAACACAAATCTGACCGGTATGTATTTCCCTGTGATACTCTTCTCCTCGAGGGAGGGAGCACTCAGTTTGTTGATGAGAGGAGAAGCACTGCAGTCACACTGCTGTCAGAAAGTAGGTCACTTATCCCACGTTTCGCTGCTTGCCCAAAGCAGATGGGTGACAGCGGTAATTGGCATCCGGGACTATAGCACGGTGTGATGGTTCTCTCTCTCCTGAGGTGCCACATCTCTACCTTTTCCCCCGCTGTCTGCTGGATTGTCTGCTAAAGACGAGCTGGCAAACTGAGAGAGAGAGCGAGAGAAAAAAACAGCCCTCTGCCCCACCTCTTCCTATTTGGAATACAAGTACATAAGGTCACGGCGTGTCAGGGTTTCAAAGATCTATCAGAACTTTGTTTCTGCAGAGCTGGAGTTTCGCCATTTTCATTTTTACATTCTGTTGTGCTAAATACAGCATTTGTCTCCATCTGCTCCGGTTTGGCTGATCTGTGATACTTTCTGGATGCGAGACTTCGGCACAGAAAAGAATAAATATCACACCAACACTGAATACCTCTACAAAGATCAGCAGTGTAACAACAATGCCATTGCACCATCTGAGTGCATAATTCAGTATAAGGTTGAGATTATTTAAAATTGTAATTTTGACTTTATAAAAGATCAGATGAAGAGTCAGGAAATCCCCCAAAGTCATGACTGAGTAGGACACATATGTGTGCCCCAGATTATAGGGCGATCCATTGTCAAAACATTTGCCTCAAAACCGTCAACCTTGTGGTGACGCTGGAGGAAGTGAACACCAGAGTCATGAGGCTATATGAATGAAAAATATGTCTAGAATGTCCGATTTTATGACAATTCATTCAACTAGCTTAGACCTTTGGAACTGTACCCAAATGGAGACGAAGCTTCCAAAGTTTCCCCGAAACAGTCACGGTATCACACTGATTATGTTAAAACTCATAATAATCATTCATTAACCTCATTCTTATAGGCCGTATATAATAGGGTTTCACCTAACTGGACCACGAGTCTGCGCCCTCATCATGACAAATCAGAGTCAACACCCGTGAAGCACAGCCAATTAAAGAATAATCATATCATCTAAATTGTTTGTCAGCTATCAGAATGGATTAAACAGGATCTCACAGTGTACATTAATTGCGTGTGACTTGGAAACCATCTACTGGAATCAGTGTCTCCCCTCACTGTCAGTCAGTGCAGGATGTGTTTCGCTACCTCAAGTGAAGAAAGATGGACATCTAGTGGTGGAAGAGGCAGTAGGAGCTCAGAAATAGGCTGAGATGAATAAAGAAATGATCTGTTTACACAATGTAGTACAGAAACAGTGAGAGAGTAAACTTCTTTGTTGGATTTATTCGTATATGTGCTGTGCATATGTTGCAGCAAATGTACACTGAACAGAATATAAATGCAGCGTGTTCTATTTATTTAATTCTATCCATTGTGTCCATTGTCATGAAACAACCAAGTTCACCTTATTGGAAATGGCAATAGGCAGATGGAAGGTGTCAGTAATGAGTGTTTCCACTATTCACATTGTGCAGTATCTCACGTCTGCAATGCATGGAATGACTGAGGTTGTCTATCCTGCTTGTGGAATGTTGTCTCAGTCGCTCTGAAGGACTGGGTGAAGTTGGTGGGCGTTTTTTGTGCCAAAGGTCACGTTGTTAGACATGTTCCTCCAGAGCTTCCTATAAGATCAGGGGCTCTCAACCTTTCGACTGCCAAGGTCCAGTGAAAAGTTCCAGCCCTGGAATTAGAATGTAAGCAGTTCAGGGCGCCCGGATAGCTCAGCGGGTAGGGTGGGCGACCCATGTACAGGGGCTATAATCCCCAACGGTTCGATTCCAGCCAGCGGCTCATTTGCTGCACCCCAATCTCCTTCCCATGTTTCTCTATCTTCACTATCAACTATCATTAAAGGCGGAAAAGCCCAAAAATATATCTTTCAAAAAAAAAAAAAAAAAAGAATGTAAGCAGTTCACTACATTTATTTCTATACACATCGGGGGAAAAAATACCAAGATCTGGATGACAGGGAACTCAGTGGTGCGTACATCCATTCTATTGCCCTACACTGCATTTTGATCAATGTATTTATTTGTTATTATCGGGCTAGGTAGTTCGTTTATACAAATGAAGCACTACAGATTGACTATTTGTTGGATAGTTTCTCTCGTTATTTTGTCATTAGAATATTTTTTTGGTATTTTTCCTAATAACATTCACAGCCATCTCAAGGCCCCCCTAGCAGCTCTCTGTGGCCCTCTAGTGGGCTGTGGTCCCCCTGTTGAAAACCACTGCTATAGATGCTCTGCAAGCCATGACAGGACTGGGACATTTTCAGCTGCTACTGTAGAAACAGCATGGTTGTCAGGATTTCATCTCCATGTCTTTTGGCATGAAGAGTCGCATTGATGAGATGCAGACATGCTCTTTGTCCATGAACCATCTCTGCCGATCCACTCCTCACACTCCATGGACCACATGATGCTACCTTCCTTAAAGCATTCCCATGGATGATACCAAACACAATGTCTGCCATCTGCTCTGTTAAGCAAGATCCATGAGAGAAAAATACCGTCCTCCATCTTGCTAGCGTCCACAGCAGTCGATCTGCCGTTAGATTAAGGCCTCGTGTGGGAAATGAGATTGCAAACCAACTTCCTGCAGGTGATTCCTCACAGTGTGAGCAGACACTCTTTGGTTATTCAAACCAACAGCTTTATCAGCATTCTCTGTAGCTGAATGCAGATGATTTCACAGGTGGACGGGCCAGATGTGACACATAGTCTCTGGTCATGTGGCAGACTGTTTATCACACCACGCTGCCTGAAACTATTTCTTAGACAACAAATGGTGGAGTTGTGGACATACAAGTGCCTGGTTACAGCCCGAACTGACATGCCAACGTCTTATAGCGACAGTCTGTTCTCATCTTTCTCTTGTCATCTATTGCACTGTGTAATTTGAATAAAGCTGCCTGTTTAAGGTGGACTTTTATAGTCACTGCTCTACGTCTGATCTTGATCCTGTACAAACCTATCATACTAAAATGTAGAGTAACTCAGTGGACCAGTTGATCAACTCAGAAACATTTGTGCACAATGCCACTTTCCACTCGTTTCTCCCTTACAGTAGAAGTTAGATTTTTAAATTTTTCTTGGCATACTGCCTTTACATTTTGGTTCAGCGTATGTTTTGAGATTTTAAGTGTCATTTTCACAAGCCATACAGTTATTCCTATCACTTTTTTTTCTTTTTTTTAATCCTGTCAGCAACAAACAAATAAATGCCAGAGTTTTTTTTTTCCATGGCCTGAGAGGTCTGCGAGCGCTACAGTAATAGTCTCTTCCCCCCAGAGCCACAGCTGCTGTTCTGCTGAGAGAGCTCATGAAGAATTTGTCAAAGTGAACCCTTATGACCGCTGAGGAAGATTTATGGGATCCTGTGTCGCCCACCTGCTCCTTTTTCATCCCGACTCAGGCATCACGCCGCACTCTTCACCTTGCACTGCGCCCCCTCTACCTCCTATTAGCTTTTCCTTTTCTGTGCCACTGCCGGAAAAAAAAAAAAAAAATCAGAGGTGGCTTTCCATCTATCCACTGTTCTCAATGTCAACTCACTGCTGATTAGAGATGACAGAAATAGTAGGCTTGATGACTCACTAGACCCGAGTCTTTTCAGACACCAGGTGCTGTCAACAAGCGCCTATGGAAAAATAAATTTAAAAAAAAATACGTGAATTCAAGCTCGAGAGTCCTGAGAAACACGTGCATCTATTCAGGCGTAAACTACTTTGGTAGTGTTTAACGGGAGCAGCAGTCATTTAATGCAACAACTGAGACACAGGTGGTCGTACACACAGTCTAAAATATATATGAGCTGTACATACAAGTACGATATCGGTCTGTGTCCCAACTACAGCCCTACACCGAATACTGAATACTTTAGATGTGCATGAATTGTACATTTTCTTTCAGGACAACCAGGATTATTTCAAAATGCTGAAACAGTCAGTGTATATAGTATAAATCTACACCTACATTTGTCATTATTGTATATTTTCTTCTTCCTTTTCGAGCCCTAACTACCCACAACACTGGCGACAGTTTGGTCTGAGATTCACGTGAGCTTATAGCAGCAAATGTACCCTCACGCTGCTAACCTCAAGAGGAGATAAAAAAAAAAGCAAGCTACGAAGTTTTTGAGTCCACGTTATCAGTTTTGTACTTTCTAAATTTGTACTGCACACGAGCATCGTCTGAGGTCATTTATCAGACTTTATTTTAGCTCCTTCAGAGCCACAAAAGGCTCTATTCAATGATTTTTGCATTAACGTGTCCACACTTAAGAGTATGTGGTGAGACTCTTTAATACCTGTAAACAGACTCCGATATGGACGCTTGGTGAAATTCCCATTCGAGATAGCTGATTTGCTAACACATCCATATTGACAGTAAGGGACATACACAACACGTATTACTTTAAAGAATGATAATTTACTGAATTCTCACTTTTTTTTGTAGTGCATTAACTACACATTCACACAAAAACTGTCACTAGGTGTGGCTCTGCGTCAGTCACTTTCAGCTGCTAGTATATGGAACTAAAACAGGCTGAAACAGAACCTTACATACATACAGTACAATCACTCCAAGACAGCAGCAGCCTTAAAAATCGCCAGATTAAGGCACGAAAAAAGAATTTAGGAAAATAAACATCTGTATTGCAATCATTTTTCTCTCAATTGCTTATTTCCCCCTGTACTGTTCATGTACAATTTCACACTTCAATTTAAGAGGACTTCACTGAACCTCTGTAATTGACAAAATGTTTCCCTATATTCACGTAGCAGTTTAGACCTTTGAGGTGTAATGCTGGTACAGTTTGTAAGGTAGTTAAAGTCCACTGAGGTCACATGGTCACTCAGCCACACAGGTGTCTCAGGTGTGATAGATCGGCACCACTCTGCTGATCTCCTGTCTGCAAATGGGGCATTTGCGTTGTGGCAAGGCCTGGTAGCAGGTGTAGCAGCAGCATACGTGTCCGCAGTTCAACAGAATACAGTCACGTGGTTGACTGAGGCAAATCACACAGACGTTCTCTGTGTGATTGTCGTTTCCAGCTCCAGGGTCCGCAGGAGCAGGCAGTCTCGGGGCTTCAGCCTGAAGTCTCTCAAATTCCCTTCGTTCCTTCTCCTGCTCCCAGCGGACTTGTAGACGACGGTAGTGGCGTAGGCCGACCCAGACGAGGACCGCTGCCCCCGCCAAAGCAAAAGCAACAGCCAGCGTCTTCCAGCAAACGGCCTCGTTCTGTTTCTCTCCTTGCAGAGTGTCAAAGTCTGCGATGCTCAAGAAGTACTCTGAACCATTAGAAGGAGGCTGAAGAATCAGGGTGCCGTCTGTGTTCAGTATCAACTCACCTACACCTGTAAGAGTTGTTCCCACCTGGAAAAGAGGTGTAGAGTTGTTATACTTGCTAATATATGCATTAGTGGTAACAATATTTACACATTTGTGAATTGAATATGAATTAATTGTGTTTGAAAAGGTCTATCTCAATCTTAGTATCTTATCTAACAACTTACTTTGAGTATTTCCTCGATCTCCAGTTGACCTTTAGGCTTCTGCCCGCTGAGGAATTGTCCTACGAGGTCAGTGAAACCATAATTGACCTGGTGAAACTTCTCGTGGATGACTTCCATGTGCATTCCAGAGGCCTGCAGAGGGCGCAGGACTTTGACTTCAGTTTCATCCGATCCCACTAACAGAAAGGGCGTCGCATTCACTCTTTCGTGCAAGACTCGTTCATCATCTGTCCTGCAACAGGTAGAAAGAGGAACAGTGGGTCCTGTTGGTCTACACATATGGTGGAAAAATGGCATTTGCTCTGGGCCACTTGTGCCTATTTTTTTGTTATATGGGAGTAATTAAGCAGTAAATGCTAATTTCTGACTTCTCTGAAATTTTCAATGGTAAATATACATATTTCTGAAAGCTTTGATATTTCTAACTTACTGCTTTTTAATCTGCACGTTTGAAAAGACAAACAAATATAATGCCTCCCATTAGTCCAAGTCAAAGGTATTTAAATCTAATTTTTATTGACATGATGCTTTAGTCACAGTAGTTCAAACCTGCAATCTTAAGTAGGTCAGTAACTACAACATTTTCAGAGACATTATCAGGCTGCAGTATCTTCATTGTAGCATCTATGGTTAACTCCTTTCCTACACTACAAACTATCAATTATAATGTATGTGCCACTCGATCAATCAATCAATTTTTAGCCTGTTTTTGTTACGCCGACTTTATAGAAATTCAATATTAAATCACTTCAGTATTCAGCACATTTAACACACTACAGCAGCAACAACATGTTGTTATGTGTGTAATACTATTCTCTTGATCCAGTTCTCACCATCTGCGTAAAAAGCTGTTCCACACCAGCCTGTGCTCTCTCAATACGAATTTCTGTAACACGCCAGAAATTTCCTTGTGGAAGTCACTTTTCAGAGGCTCGCCCTCTGGCTTTACAACTCCTGCAACATACATATAAACACACACAGTCACAGAGAATAAGTGGCAAGGGTGGGATATGCAGTTTCTGTGAAGAAATGTGCTATCAACTCTTGTCTATACCAGAAACAATGAAACCCTGATTACCTTCAATGACAGCATACTGTAGATACGCTTGTGGAGTCACTTTCAAAACATCTCTGAGTGTTCCATCTATGATGAAGTGTGGAGCATTCTGAAAACATGACACACACACACTGTTGGTATAAGCAGTAGACAGGACTCAGGTTTTACAGAATGATGCATTACAATACAAGTTGGTCACCTAGGGCGCTCCTCTAAAAGGGTTGCAAGGTGTTTTAAAATGCAACACAAGATGGGAAAGAAAAAAACATACATATTGTTGCAATATAACATGTGCCTTGTATTTATTTATTCAAACTTTTCTCCAGCTTTTGATGTTTCCATTGACTTTTTACACAATCAGCTTGATTAGGCTTATAAAAATCACTAAGCTCAAATAATCTGAGAAGAGAACATTACTTTTTTTTCAAACATCTCAATCAAAGACATACTATGTGCAACTTGTAAGGAGCATTTGTACCTCTGACAGCTTGGACACAACCAGCCTAGAAAGATTACCCCTCCCCATAAGCAGCACTTTTCAGGGACATTGGCAGACTAAATTCCCTCCACATGCGAAAGCTAATTTCATTTTCACTTGTGGCTTACACAGCATTAAAAACACAAGCTGAAAGTTGCAGAATAATACTATACAATGTGTTCCTACTCACATTAAGCTCATCGACTGTCGTCTGGCTCTTCCTGTACACATAGTAGCAGATGCCTGAGAGGGCGAGGCTAGCCCCCAGACACATTGCCTCTGTAAAGTTCACCTGAAATCCATCCATTTCCTCTGGGTCGCCAGTCCTGAGAGCAAGACCTGCACAAACATACAACACGGAAAAATGCAAATAAATCAACTGTCTATAAAACCTATAGCTGGAGCCCCCTGACTGAGTCTGGCATGCTTTGATAGGTGTGTTTGAGAATGGATATTGGCCCATGTGAGTTAAACGTGAAACAGAAATCTGATACAGCGTCTAGCAATACCGTGATTACCTGCCATTAATTTGCATCACATTCTTTTGTAATAATGAGGAACTGAAGCATCTCTCCTTTGCATTTCTGACGATAAAAGCATGCATTTGACTTGATACAATAAAACAGCATCATGTCAGTGATGTACAGTTTTATTCATCAAGAGTCATTACTGGTCCCTATTGAAGTCAATACAATAACATACGTTGTGTCACTGACACAGCCCTGGCTTTTGTCAAGAACAGACACTGCAAGCTGTGAAATACACGAGTCTTGTCACAACTAAAGGTTATAAATAAATACAGTGATTTTTACCATTGTGGTCTGGTTACCCTGATGGCTCTGGAAATACTATCAGAACAAGTCAAAAGACTTCCTGCCAGCCGTTTATTCTTTAAAGAAACCAAAGCTTAGCTCTGTGAATCAAATGTAAGCTAATGCTAATATATCAAAGTGCACAAACTGGGAGTAGCACTTGGCCAAATAGAAGTTGGTGGTTATTTGCAAACAGATAAGAAAGCAAAAACAAACAAAAGAGACAAAACACTCTTGATTAGTGCCTCGGTAAACTTTAAACTTTAAATGGACTCCCTGTCAAAGCAGCACATCTTAAATTCAATAATAGTGTCTTTGCTAAAATTCTATTCAAATAGACACCTAAATCCTGGAAGTCAATTTCTGTGTTCTGATCGTGCCAGTTGCCTCATAATGTGTTAAACTCCAATCAGACTGATGATGAAGGCGACTGTTCATGATAAAGTTAGCAGGTAGCCGGCTAACGTTGCTAGGACCAGCAGTGACCTCTAAACGTTTTTACAAACTAACGTAACAAACCACATGAAAGCAATAACACATAATGTATGAAGGTATATGCGTCCTAGATACCCGGTGCAATCAATATTAAGTCTGTCTTTTACCTGCCAGAGAAAAATGAAACAAAAACTAGCCTTCAAGTTGACAAGTTCCCCTGTACGGCGTCGTCCATGTCACGTGACGTAGGTGCCAAAACCTATCACGTGACCAAGTGTCGGCGCATGTCAGTTGCGGCCCTCCGTTCATCCACGTCTCTGCGCCGCCGAGATGGCAGGAGGTGTGCGGAAAAAGTCTCCCGGCTCCCCGTCCCCTCTGTGGGGGAAACTTCACACGCTCTGGCAGGACAAACATTTGGTCCTGTTCAAGACGGAATACACGTTACTGGTCGTTTCGGTTTTGTGGTTCCTCGAGGTCGGGATCAATGTGTGGGTCATACAGAAAGTAGCGTGTAAGTAGCTGCGCGGCTAGTTAGCATGCTGCTGTGTTTTGTCGTTTTCCCGAGCGAATCCAAATGCTAAGTAGCTAGCGTTAGCAAAGCATTAGCTCGCACAGCCACCTGTCAAAGGGAATTTACTGTCATTGCAAGACCGCATACAGTCCTCCGTTCTTTCCCAGGGTTAAATGGCATTCCTTGTTTTCAGCAACTGCTGGTTTTAAAACTTTATGATCCACTTTATGACAGTTTTGTGTTTTCTTATTGAGAGCACTGCAAGTAAACTTCAAGAAACATGATAATAACTTTAACATGCCCCATTGTAGATCTTATATAGCGCTGCAAGCCTCGCAATAGTACTGTCAGTATCAGTTAATCTTCAGTTTATTTTATTAAATTCCTTGTTTATTCGATAGTAATGGCCACCACATTGCCTAAAGCCCAGGCGAGGTCTTGGTTTGACATTCTTAGTTCGTAACTGATTACAATAATAAATCCGTTATCAAAGTTATTCCCAATTACACCTCTGTTAACTAGCCAATGAATGAATCCATCACATATTTTGGCACTCCTGTTCCTAAACAGTCAGTAGATTAACAGTGGATTGACAGAAAAAGTAAATGATAGAAGGTGAATTGTATTAATCATTTATACAGCAGATTCAGAACATGTTTTAGCTAGGTTTTACAAATGCAAATATCAGTTTTATATTGGTGAAATGATATGAAAAGGAGAAGAGTTTGGCTCTTTATAAGACAGCAGTTTAGATGCAGTAAAGCTGTGGTACATAACCTAGAATATGTGCTATTTATGTACAATCTGTGCAGTTTTAATACTCTGCCAGTATGTCTATTCATCAAAAGAAATCTGTGCAGTAACACTGATATGTGCATAATGTTATTTTTTAGTACTTCTGTTTTTTGTGTACTACATTATCTAAATGTTTGCACTGTCTTTGCTGCTGTAACACTGCAAATCCCCTCTCTGTGTGGCATGAATGCATTTTTTTAACAGTGTTGTCAGGAAAAGTAGTAAGGTAATGAGTGATCACTGATTTATGTTTACTGCAGACACTGAGATCGACTGGAAAGCCTACATGGATGAAGTGGAGGGAGTCATCAATGGCACCTACGACTACACCCAGCTTAAAGGAGACACGGGTCCTTTGGTGTGAGTTTCAAAGGCTTGTAGTTACGTGGGCCTGTCCATCCTGTTGTTTTCCGTGCAGGTTCAATAAATTAGCACCTTGTTGTTGTAGGTACCCCGCTGGATTTGTCTACATCTTCACAGCTCTCTACTACATCACCAGCCGAGGGGTTAACATCCGCCTCGGCCAGTACATTTTCGCTGTTTTCTATCTCGTTACACTGCTGCTCGTCTTCAGGATATACTACCGCACTAAGAAGGTCAGTTTGTTGTTATGTGACAGAAGTGAATTTCTTCCACAGTATACCTCAAAACAGAAGCATCCTCTTGTGTATAACTGTCCAGAACACCTGCATATCCTGTACAAATGTTATGTGCTAATAGTTGTTAAAAAACCTAGCAGCATAACTTTTCTCTGCTGTCTGAATATTTCTTCATTTCCTTAATTTTTCCAGGTTCCTCCGTATGTGTTCTTCTTTGTGTGTTGTGCCTCCTATCGGATCCACTCCATCTTTGTGCTGCGTCTCTTTAATGATCCAGTGGCGATGATGCTACTGTTTGGAGCTGTAAATCTCTTCATGGATGGATACTGGACCATGGGCTGCGGCCTTTACAGGCAAGTATGGACTCCTTCTTAACCCTCTAAACCCCAAAACCTGTCAGCAGGTTCCAAAGGCATGGTGTCGTTAAAATATTGTCAAAATTCCACCCTTTAATAGAGCCGGAAACTGTAGAAACAAAAAGAGTCTTCAGCTTTTCAACTTTCTTACGGTCTTTGAACTACTCATCTCTGACATGCTGTTCCATTAGGACACTTAACCAAACCGAGGCTCAAAATTGTGAGTTTTCATGAAACTCACTTCATACTAAATGTCTCATTTGAATATTTGCCACAAATAAACTATTTGCACCAGATTCTGTGAAAAACAACCTTGAAGCCACCAGTGACTGCATGTGATGAAAATTCAGGGACTTTTCAGCTGAACTGGGTTAAACTTCAGATTTTGCTTACACAGAGCAGATAGGAAACAAATATGGAAATTAATTAGAAATCTAAGTAGTAAAATATCTATAGTATGGAGAGCAAAAAAAATACATAGGATCTGTTTGGGGTTGAGAGGGTTAATGCAGCTTCTCATGTAATTGCTTCTTTAATCTAGAGTACATATGATGTGTTTCTTTGTAAGTCTTTATACACTTTTTTCATTGACTGACAAGATGAAATTACAACCCAATTTTCCTCTCTTTCTGACAGTTTAGCAGTATCTGTGAAAATGAACGTGCTTCTTTTTGCCCCTGGATTACTTTTCCTCCTCCTGTCTGAGTTTGGTCTAATCAGGACAATCCCAAAGCTTTCACTGTGTGCAGCCATACAGGTAACTAGTCCTTATGATATCGAATCAGGCCCACTTGAACTGTGATGCTGTAACATTTTACCAACATTTATCTCCGTCTTTCTTTACCACAGCTTTTGCTCGGCCTCCCTTTCCTCTTAGAGAATCCCACTGGTTATGTGAGCCGGGCCTTTGATCTTGGCCGCCAGTTTATGTTCAAGTGGACAGTCAACTGGCGCTTCCTGCCAGAGTGGCTCTTCCTGAATCGTTACTTCCATTTACTCTTGCTGGCTGCTCACCTGCTCACCCTGCTGCTCTTCGCTCTCCGCCGTTGGAAGAGGTGAGACAGACGTTGGCTGTGCCAAGCTTACTTTGGCATTGTGACTAGATGAATAATAACAGGTTACAAGCCCAACACCACAGGCTTTGGCTCAGTTACTAGCTGATCTAATGGACCCTGGTGCAGGGTTTTCCAGATATTTATATGTTTGGCGTTCAACCATATTGGCCTAAACCACATGTCATTATACCAATGTAACAAGCTGCCATTAAGAAGTTCAAATAAATTTCAATAACATAGTTCTTGGAAACATGCCAGTGACTGTCTGTATTTTGTTGAAACCCTCAAGGCAAATAAAAAAGACATTGAATTTGGTATTTTATATTTTGTAAATTAATGACTTGGGGTCAGATATATTTCTTTTGTTGAGTTTTCTAAATTGTTGTTACTGTTTCAGGATCTCTTATCAGTATGTAATGGGAATATTTTAGTAGACACTAAGTCTGTTTGTCAGTTGTTTCCATTTTAGTCATAAAGATGTATTTGCGATTCCTTTTTTATGAAAATGAACTCCGTTTTTCCTCCTTTACAGACCAGGAGAAAGCATCTTTGAACTCCTCAAAGAGCCCAGCAAGAGAAACACACCTGCTCAGAAAAGCACTGTGGATCATATCCTTCTGTTCCATTTAAATCTTCTATCTGTGGAATATCAAACCTAAAAAGATGCAATAGGGTCGTCAGTAAAGCTGTTAGTTCTACTGTTAAAAGTATAGATGGTCAGATATAAATTGACGGAATGTGTCTACATATTAGTCAGGCAGTAAATGAATGACAGTCCTGGCGTCCTGGTGCAGTCTTTCATTTGGTCAGACCTTAACAGATAATCTACAGATAGTGTTGGTTCTTTTCACCTCTAACTTCATTGGCATGTGCTTCAGCCGTTCGTTGCACTACCAGTTCTACGTCTGGTACTTCCACACGCTGCCTTACCTGCTCTGGAGTGGAGGAGTCAAGAAGCTGGCCCACCTGCTCAGGTGAGACGGAGGCTAAATAGTAAACCACACGTCCAATTTTTGATCAGTTTTAGACCTGTGGTGTTGCACATCCCTAAACACTCAACGTTCCTGTGTGCAGGGTCCTGATCCTGGGTCTGATTGAGCTTTCATGGAACACCTATCCGTCTACTAACAGCAGCTCAGCTGCCCTCCATATCTGTCACTTCATCATCCTCCTTTGTCTTTGGCTGGCTCCACCGCTGCCGTCAGCCCCGACAGAATCACAAGAACAGACACCTGACAAGGACAAACGCCACTGAGCCACAGCACGATCGGACCTGAAGTTGCGTTCGGTCCACTCAGCTGCTGATCAGCCTCCATCATCCTTCCTCTCTTTGGGCCTCACAACACCAGTCCAGAGGGAGGTCACTGCAGTAGACTGTTTAAGTGAATATAAGGAGCCATTCGATGCTTCTCATCTCCGCTCACCAATTAAAATGAAGGAAGCTAACGGGCGCGTGCAGACAAATGCCTGCATGATGAAGTGGTGTGTAGCTGTCATATCCGGTTGAAGAGATGAGAAGAGGAAAATATGGATTCTCAGGTTTCATTTTCAGATATATAAAAGGAAGAGTGGAGCGCTATGAGAGAGTTGTGAATGCTGCGCTGCGTGGAAAGAATTTGTTACATGAGCTGTTTTCTACTTCTAATGTTAAAACTGCTCTCGTTCCATAATTCCTCTGGCCTAATCATTTTGTTCATATTCTGATATTGTTAAAAAACTGTCATTTCCTGGTGCTCAACTGATCTTATACATTGAAATAAGAAAGCGTTACACTGAAGAATGTGAATAATATCCCAAAGAACCAGAACCAGAAGCTTTAAATTCATTGAATATAATAAGCGTTTCCTCTGCTACATTTAACAGAATTCTCCAGTGCAAGGCCTTTTATCTTTTTTTGGTAGTTTTCCAGTATTTTCCCACAAATGTGTAAAAGTAAGCTGCAGACAATCGTGGTTCCATATCTGTCTGATTTGGTTTGTAATTAAGTTAACCTCTGGTTTGAGTGGTTACACTTGTTGGCACAGAAGTAGATTTAATGTGAAAAACATGTAGTAGACTGAAACAGCAAGTGCTTTATGTAATATATAGATGCCACTTAACCTTTATGTGGTGTTTTTTTTATTGTTACACATAAGAACAAATGGTTAAATTGCTGTTTATTTCCCCTTCAGTAATTTCATTAGGTAATCTTTCATTCATTTATCAAACAATCATCCTGATTATTAAAATCATCATCATCTGATACTGACTCTAATTAAACATTTGGCATAGTAATACAATATACGGACGGCAAGCTGAAACGTAGACTACAAAAAGCCCATTCAGATAGTCAAGGCATTCTTGTGATTGCATAAAGCATATTAATAATAAAAGGCCACTTGGTCTATGTCATGTAAAATTAGAATGATCTTGGTACCTTGGGTTACAGTATCAGTTAATAAAATACACAGTTTACTTTTCCATGTCCAGGCGTTTGGAGTCACTATCATTGGTAACATGTGATTATGCTCATCAGTAGATGTGGCTCAGCTAGCTCTGACATGATTGTCTCACATATTATTGGGGTTGTAACACAGCATGTTCAGTTTGATGTTTTCATCCCAGTGGCGTAGCAGCAGGAACAGCTGCCTGGCTGCTCCCTTGAGCCCCGCCAGGTCCACTCCCTCCGGCAGCTCCTGACAGCGCAGCCAGAAGTCGGCTTTCGCTGCCACGAGTTCCCACTCCATGAAGTAGCCAGCACACCGGTGCTCCAGCCAAGCTAGAGCCACAGCTGTGGCCCAGCTCGAGCCTTCCAGGTCCTCTTGAGCCAACTGGCTGCTCCCCTGGAGGTCAGCTGGGTCAACCGAACAGCCTTCGCATACATCTGTCTCTGATCCACGGCCGCTGTCTGCCTGGCCCTGGCTCTGGCTCCGAGAGGGGCCGACAGACAGCTCCAAGGAGCCCTCCTCGGAGCTGGGGAGGTCAGGAGGTGAGGTGACGGGGTCTCGGTCAGAAAGGTGTCTTCGCCGAAGCCTTGATTCCAGTATCAAGGGAGTGTCATCTGGAGTGTGGTGGAAAGGAGGAGCATTTGGTTTTGAAAGGGAGCAGGAAGAAGGGGAAAAGGTAACATGGTGGCTTGCAGGAGCACAGGGAGGCTTAGCAGAGGTAGATAAAGATGGAGCACTGGGTGATATGCAGCGGAAAGCTGGGCTTAGACTGCGGCGGTGGAGGCTGTATGGTGATGCTCTTTTAAGGCGGTCCAGGGGGATCTGGACACAGTCAGAGTAGACCTCTGTCAGTAGAAAAGCTCCGGATGCCAGCTGCAGACGCACCTGAGGAGAAACCACGGACATAGATTAATCATTGTAGTTCCATACTTGAGTCTTAAACCAAATCAATACATTGGTGTGAGCACCCTTTGTCTTTGGTACAACTTGCTACACTTCCTCTATCTTCTGTTTCTTCAAGTAATTCGGCGTGACTCCATGATGTTGAGATCAGGGCTGTATTTTGGGTTACATCTGTCTTTTTGTCCCCTACTAGACTGTTCACTCCTTGCTCTTCTTCATACTGAGGACAGTTCTTTAAGTCTCTGGCTGTATTTTTTAGATTTAATGCCATGCAGCAGAGTGACTTTGGAACCAGTCAGATTCCTCCCTGATGGTATTGTGTGATGGGTAAAAATCACACCATATGAAGTGTCTGAGATCTTTGCCAAGTACAGTATATGTGCACAGCTCACCAGGGGCAGGTAGTCTGGAGTTTCATTTTCAGGTTGTTTCTCAGTCTCTGCAGATAAACAGTGGGACTTGAGAGGAACCTGCTTTCCTGATGAAATAGAAGACCTGAGTCTGCCCAGTGGAAACCTGGAATATATAACAAAAGGTGGGTTTGTTTTGACTTTTCTATGGCTTTACATTTGGGTGTAGACAAAACATAGATCACTCCCCTTAGAGAAAACCCAAAGTAAAATCATCACAAATAGGGCTATAAAGGAAATAAAGAGACCAAAATCTTTAAAGTTTCAGTCCCATAATGTTTTGCTTTAACATTCTTTTTCAAATCGATAATATGAAAGTCTTACCTGGTACCAAAGAAGCTCTCCATTGACTTGCTCTCTATGGATCGCTGTGAACGGGTGCATGAGGCGCTGGTTGTTGGAGGAGATGTAGCACAGTGGGCATTGCCTCCTCCACCTGAGACAGAATTGTGGGGAGAAAAAAAACAAACTTTATTGTTTCATCAGCACAATGACAAAGTGGTTTTCTCGCTGTGTCTAAAGGCACCACTCACCCAGATTAGATTGAAAAAACTGTTGAACTGTTATCTACCCAGAAAAAAAACCCCATCTCTTTAAAATAATTTGTAATGTGTCCTGTGGATTATGGGTCTTTCTGGAAAGGAAACGTTGCTATTAGAGATTGTATTTAGAGTTTTTAAATGTTATGACTGCACCAACAAAACTCCATATAGCCACACTGTATTTGGGTCGAAGTAAAAACGCAAAAATCCCGAACAAATCAAGATAAACTCGAATTACTATAATGGTTGTATGCCTCTGCTAACTAATCGGATTTCAGTTTACAACCATCTCTTCTTCTGCTCATGAGGTATGGTGTTAAATAATACCCAGTACAGTAATTTTTTTATTTTTTTTGCACATTATGGAACCCAGAGTGAAGCTGACTTTTCAGCGTTTGTATTTAAAATGCCATCACTTCTTCTTCATTTTATTCTGTGACATATTTGTGTCAAATTTGGTCATAAGTAGTATATTAGTTATGGTTAAAAATGTGTTTTGACTGACCAAATTCCAATCAGTTCATCCAGTCAAAGTAAATGCTTGTCCAGATGTCCCCCACCTCCCTCATCCTCACTCTCACCCCACCCAGGCGAGGCAGATGGCCGCCTTCCCTGAGCCTGGTTGTGCCTGTTTTTTTTCCCTCCCCGTTAAAGGTTTTGGGTTTTTTTTTCGGTTTCTTCCCACCATCGCTGACAGCTTGAGCATAAGGAATCCAAAGGCAAATTTAGGTTCTCTGTTCTTTGTTTAAAAGTTCATAAGGTCTTTACCTTACTATGTGAAGTGCTGTTGTAAATTGGCGCTATACAAATAAAATTTAATTGAATTGTGCCAAATTTAAAGAAATTTCTTTAGGAATTTAAGAGCCATTCACAAGAATGGGACGGTTTTCAGCCCAGAAACACATTTCTCCACACATGGCTGTTCCCAGCATGGAGGCATAAAGAAAGAACCGACTATCTGGTCGAGTGGATACGAGTTCTGGTAAGGGATTTATGTTTTTTCTTGTAATTTGGCTGAATTGATCCTTTTAATCCTTTTAAAGCTGATTGTTCAAAAAAGAATGCTGCACAAGATGATGAAGATGATGGAGGATTCTTCCCACCGTCTCCACAACACAGTGAAGAACCAACAGAGTGTGTTTAGTGGGAGGCTGCGTCAGCTTCGCTGTCGAACGGAGAGATACAGGAATTCCTTCCTGCCAACAGTCATCACCTTAAAAAACATATCTGACTGACTGACGGTTGACTGACTGAATGATTATTGTTGCCGTTGTGTGGAATATATGTTATATTGATTTTAAAAAAAAGAGAGAGAGAGAAAGTGAGCTTTTACAAGATTGAATTTCCCTTCTGGGATAAATAAAGTATTTTTCATTTCATTTTCATTTCATTTCAATTCATTCATTAATAATTGCTTCACAAGTTCTGTGTGGTATCAAGTCAGGGAAGAAAAGTTCTGCTGCTTCTCTTTCCATGCAGACTCACCCGAGTCTTGTACTGGCTTTCTGGTTAGAAGCCTCTGTCGGTGAGACTACACTGACACTGGAGTGTCTTCGCTGAATGAGTGGACATCAATACTTACTAGAGTCCCAGGATGTAACGCTACAGGGTGAAGCAGGAGTGTCATCTCTGTCTGAGAGATACAAAGATTGTTGATGACCTAAGGTGTTGACAACAGAAATGGGTGATGGTATCATTCGGTCTGTCTACCTGTCGCGTTCCAGGTGTCTTCGACCTCTTCGCTGTCTCTGCTGGTTCGTCTTCTGCCCAGACCTACAGAATAGGATCTCTGCCTGCGACTCCCTGATTGAGAAGTCTGCCTGTTCGCCAAATGCACCCCTGCACACACACACAGGCACACAGAGCTAAAATATAGACTAGAATATGGTATTTAAATTGCCCTAAATGTTTAAGTACGCATTTTATGACCTTGGTATACAGCGCCCTCCATAATTATTGGCACGCCTGGTTAAGATGTGTTCTTTAGCTTCAATAGAATAGAATAGAATAGAATAGAATAGAATAGAATAGAATAGAACTCTATGATCCCTTTGGTGGGGACCTCAGGGAAATTGCTGAATCTAGGATCACAATGAAAAAAAAGGAAATTCAACCTTTAATTCAAGTGCATTTATTCAGTGTGAAAAAAATCCTACATTAAAAAATAATTCTTTTACATCAAATCATGTGTGCCACAATTATTAGCACCTTTGATGTTAATACTTTGTACAACCCCTTTTTGCCAACAATTCATTTGAGTTGAGTTGAAGGTTACATTTTTCTACAATTTTCAGTGTGAGAGGATGCTTCTGCAATAAAAATTGAATTTATTTTAAGGCTTTTAACACATCTTAACCAGGGGTGCCAATAATTATGGAGGGCACGTATGTAGTGCTACTCACATATATACTTGTCTCAATAAAAGTAGATATAAAAGAAGTACTCCTGTGATTTAGCACTCTGTTGCATAGATTCACAAGAGACAGATATTTTCAATAAATAAACAAACTACCCAACTTTTTAACCCAGACAAAGGGTGAAACACCAAAAACACAGACGCTTAGAGACCCTTTTCTGCCTAGTAAATGCCAAAATCTTCCAAAAATCCACATCTCAATTTCTACACACAAATGCACGCACCTCAAGTCCATGAGAATAACCATAATGACATAATCTGGGTAATTTTGATGGGTGTTAAAAAGATGACTTCTAATCCACAAAGGACATGGGACAGTATGCTTTGCTGGTGGGATTGTAGGCTCCGTGACAAGGAAACAGAACTTCTTAAGTAAAATTGATCGAGTGGCTTTCTATGTGTGTATTGGTTGGTAGCTTACCTGTGGTCTGGACGTCCATGCTGTCTGCTGCGCCTTTGTTGGGGTTGTTGTCAGTGGTAGTGAAGGCTGTGTACATACAGATGATGTTGCAGTGCTTACTTGTCTGGATGGCCTTCATACGGTGTCGCTTAGCCGAACCTAAGAAACCATCAGATACAACACGGTAACAGTAAGAGAAACAATTCAGTTCATCAGTAAGAAAAATCATCGGTAAACCCTCACCGTGTCCGATGTCACTCTCCTTCTCTGCCATTTTCTCAAAGTCCCTTATAACTGAGCGAGCAGTCAGCTGGTGAATGATCTCTTCCCACGGTTTGCCTTCTCTTCCTTCTTCCCCTCCTCCTCCACTTCCCTCAACCTCTGTGATGTCCTGGTCCTCAGGGGTCCAGAGGTGGCCCAGGTCCACGGTGACCTCCCAGGACACAGGCCTGCCGCTCAGTAGGCCGTGAATGAGGGAGCGGCACTGACCTGGGGGAGGATCGTCTGGTGGAGCAGCAGTGAAGAGATACTCTGGGTCTGTGAAGCTGTCCCAGTCCAGAGGAGAGGCAGGGAACAGGAGTCCATCTGAGGATCAAAATTGAGGATAGAAATTTGTTGGAGCTGAATTAGAAGGACAGACTTGCTTTTCTTTGTACTGAAGCTTACTGGAGTCAGTGAGGCTTCTGTGGGTAATGGTCCCTATTGATGGGGGCACCGTCTCCCCATCACTTTCGTCCAGTCTCCCTCCTAATGTTTGGTCAAAGGAGACCCTCTCCAGAGCTCTCCTCAGGCGGTGCATCTCCAGTTCACCCTGGGGAGACGAGAAACTCCGCGCTGCCATGGTTGAACGGGCCAGTGCTTTTTGTCTCCTACGAGACTCCTCGCCTCCATCCAGACGCCCGTTCTGATTGTGTAAGACGGACGACCAAACACGAAAAAGAAAATTAAATTAGACCAGCTTTTCATATTTTTCTGAAACAAAATATGTCTGAAATTAAAAAGATGCAAGGGTGAGTATCTTTGAAAAGTATGCTAGATAAAGCCCTCAGAATGGTTTTGTTACTATTTGTGAGGTGTTAGACCACGTTTATGTCGTGACCATGAACATTAGTTCTATGGGAGTTTAAGAATACATTTTGGAAATGTGCTTAATTTTCAATTTTCATGAATTTTGCCCATTTCATGCTCTTCATGTGGGCAGTTTATCATCATTTTCATATTTTTACCACGTGTTCTTATAGATCTGAAGATGATCTGACCAAAATATGGTTCTGTTGCTGAGCCTCCTTTAGGACCTATGATTTTTTTTTTCTATGTGTATATCTAGTGTATCCTGAAGATGATAATGGTGCCACAGATACAGTTTTAGCATTAACCTCCAAGGAGATAGAACAGGACTTATTGTTGGAAGTGAAACGCACGGATTACCTGCTCAACAGAATGATTGAACTGTTTATGATGAAAGACAGGAGGATGGATTTTTGTTCAAATAATTACAGGTTTTGATGATAAAAATGATGCAACGTCCTGTTATGCTGCCTTTTTGCATAATACTGATGGTTTCTATAGCCACTGTGTCATAATGATGGTGTTAAGAGGTGGTTTGATTCAGGTAGGACGTCGCTGAAGGCCTAGGAGTAAAATGCATGGCCTACCACTGATTGCTAGAATTCAGAAATGTACTTTAGGATGGATTTTATTTTATTTTTTTGTATCAGTCTCACCTTTTTTGTCTCACTGTCGGGGGTTTCGGCTGAAAGATTTTGCTGCCATGCTGAGTCTGCCCAGCGAGACAAGGATGACCTCTGTTCCGGTGGGGGCATCTTCTCGAGGCCTTGGGGTAGAGAGCCTGTATCCAGCACTGAACCGGAGGAGTGAGGGTCGGGCAGAAAGGCGCCGGCTGCTGAGTCTGAGTTTGATGCATGTATGTGTGAGTGGGACTGCGTTTGTAGACTTCGCTCACTACTGAGGGAGCAGCGAGTGAGGACGTACTGCTCCTGAATGTAAGAGCTCTCCTGGATCCTCCTCCTCACATCACTGGACCAGTCCAGCTCCACACCTACAGCGGACAAAAGCCAGCAGTTTAGCACTGTGAGAAAAAGTGTTCAGTAGGTAAATGTCAGTTTAAGGGACAAGCGACTGACCTGGACTGGTGCCAGGGTCTGTGTCTTTGGCACAAGAGAACTCAGAGGAGATTTCTCTGGATATTTCCCGAAGTGCCTCTTCCAAGTCAGTGCCATCTGCACATGTCACGATGGGCATGAGCTCAGAAGCAGGAGGAGGTGAAAGCTCATCATTTGATTGGTCAAAAACTGAACCAGAGGAGCCACGATGTAAACTACAGCTCCGTCCTTGAGACTACAAAATAAAATTTTAGAGATCTTGTTTTCCTATGCAGACACATACAGACAAACTCTGATGTTTGCTTTTAAATGGAAGGATATACAGTATACCTCTGTCTTTTTTGCTCTGAAAATCGTCATGTCATAAAGAGTGCAATATCCAATGAGGCGATTCCCGGGGTAGAGCGGAGGGATTTCATTGGGTGACAGAAGAGCCTCCATGTTTTCCGGCAGATACCAGTCAATCCGTACGTCGGTCAACACAGGTTCAAAAGCCTTTTTCAGAGACTTGATTAACTGCAGCAGAGTCAGGGGACAAAGTGGTTGCAAATTTGACAAAGTGAAAGCTTTATATTTACACAAATGACTCATCTCAAGTGTTGGAAAAAGTATTTCAATTCTCTTTTCAATGGAACTGCAAAGAATCCACCTGAAATGTAATAAGGATTCCCAAAAAGACACTCTTTTGTGGGTGTCAAAAAGCCCAAATCTTGGGAACCCCTGGTTTATTCTTTAGCAATTCATTATGTGAAGTCAAAGTATAAAACAGCATAACAAGTGTCTTAAAACTGTCCTCACTCAAAGAACTCGAGTAAATGTTACTTTTCACAACTGCTTGTTGCCTTTGCTATGTTGAAAGACAAATTTCAAGTACCATAGCTTTCTGGATTTATTTAAAAGTTGTTCTGCAATTCATATTTTTCTCCAATAGGTGTCAGTGTTGTCGTGCTGCTGACCTTGGGCTGGAGTCTCTCCTCATCATCCAAGAACTCAGTAGTCCCTCCTGTCAGTTTGGCAACGCCCTGCAGGAGTCTCCTGCATGCTCGGGGACCAAGGCCGAGGCCAAAGCATCTGCAGAGGTGATAAAGTATAGACATAAAATCTTTATCACATCCCAAGAGAAAATGTAATCAGAGTTCCACAATTACTATGTGAGTGTTATCTTTACTTTCTTCAATTACAGGATGGTCTCTGCTAAAAATACAATACTGCTTGCAGGTGCCTCTGAGAAAGAGACAGAGAAAATGTAGGGTCGTCAGACAGACGGAACCGTTATTTGTGCGCTGTGAGGGATCACAAACCATTTGGCTAATTGAGAGTTTGAAAAGAGCAGGAGACGGAATAATTGAAAAGGCTGAGATCTCGAGTGCTGCCTCTAAAAACAGCAGATCCGTGTGGCTGGCTAGATACTGTTATCACTGCACAAATAAGAGAGACTGAAAACCAAAGTGATGTACAACAGAGAGAAGAACACCTTTCCAGCTGCATCTGAAATTAGATTTACTACATGAGAGGAAAAAAAAAAACAACATATACATAGTTTTCAGAGGGACAGCCAAAATACAGTGGAGAAAGTCAGTCCAGCAGGAGAATACTAATGAGGCATAAATGGAGTTATTCTGCATCGGTGAAGGGCCTGGGGAAAACCAGAGGGGTGTGACTCTTACTGCAGAGGAGAGCACTTAACGGGATTACTGGGCGGAGCTGAGAAATACTTCAACCTTTTCTTTTCTTTCTTCCACAGTGCTCTGCTCTCACTTCTTTAACATCACTGTTTGCCATCTCTTTCTCCTCCATATCGTATCTCTGTCATGTTTATCACCTCATTCTGCCTGCAGTCACTGTACCCCATTCGTCTCTCCCCACGGTGATTTACTGTCCTGTCACATGCGAGCCATATAATGCTGGTTTTATTAACCAGATGTGCACGTTAATATCTGTGTTTTGCCTCATCCACCTGATCTCTGTCTGCTCCGCTGTATGCACATCATTTCCATACCTGCCAGCGCATGTGTTTCTGCGTACAAGCTCCAGCACTTTAGCCACGTTGCTGATGGATCCATCCGTGATGATGAAGACCTGACGAGGATACGAGCGCTGCATGGGCTGCTGGTACAGCCAGGACAGTGCCCCCAGCAGGTTTGTGCCTCTCATGTCAGCCCTCATCCTCTGGACGTACTCGCAGGCCTGCATCAGGGTTATCTAGATGCATACATGCAGTAGATTATTAAAGTAGAGATGCAATCAGATCCACAGTAAAGAAGGGAGCAGCAAACAACACCTGTCAAACTGCACTGCACAGTGCAAACATCCTGTTTGTTGTCAAGATAAATTTACTGTTTGATTTCAAATGCCCCAATTGGCCTGGAAGAATAGCAAAGAATTGAATCCTTCTGTAATAAAGACAGCACAAACATACACGCGTTAGCACCTGCCTTGAAAGTTACCTCAATTGGATAAACATGAGCGGCAGGACAGGAGATGGATGGACATCTCCTGCCAAAGTGAAAATGCATGAAAGGCCACCATATGGTGAGGAGAATGTGCAAAGACTGTTTGTTCGTACAGCCCCTGGTCTGGATAAAACCTGATACTCTGCTACTAAGGCAACCCAAGGAACTGACCTATTGCCTGATTAGAGAGTAGACAACATGGAACAGAAAGGGCTGCATGGCTGAAAAACATCTGTGTTCAGGAAACACGAACCAAATGCTATGCATATTTTCTTTCACTGGAAAGAATTCATATGCATTAAGAACAACATAACTTGGCAAAAGGGGTTTCACTTCACAAGCCTGATTTGGGTGATTCTCTGTTCTCATAAAGGTCACTGTGTAAAACTAACATCAGTGCACATCTTGCTGTTGGTGAACAGGGGCTTGACGGTGGTACCAAAGCCCACAATGTTGAGCATGGTGCCAGATGGCAGACTCTTCAGGGCCACCACCATGGCTTCCTGTTGAAACATGAAAAGACAGAGCCTGATCAGTGTATCTGCCTTAATCTTAAATCTAAACTCCTGCTCATGTATGTTTTTAACCGTAGCTCACCTTTACACGATGGATGTTGGTGCCACTCATGCTGCCACTGCGATCAACCAGAAACAGCAGCTCTCTGGTGGCTTTATGCAGCTCCAGAGGATCGGACAGCAAGTCGGGACAGAAATTAAGCATCAGAACGGGGCTGCTCAAAATGTCCTTATGGTGTCGCTTCCTCACAAACTCCAGCTGCATTGGGAACATCAGTATGTCAGCTTTTATCAGCATTAGAATTAGGACAGAAGTATATAAATGTATGGGATGTGGAAAACAAAAAAGAGGAAAGAAGCGTGAGCATTCACTGACCTTCCTCTCTGGATCTGAGTCTTTGCGAGTGCAGCGAATGAAATCACGGCGGGAGCTGATTTGCTGTTCGTATTGGTTGAAAGAGAGCCTGCCTCTCTCTAAGATGACCAGAGGGCTGTGAGGTTCTGTGGACGTTTTTAAGAATAAAAAAGTAATGTAGTTCAAAATTAAGTGCAAATAAAAAAAAAAAAAAAACATTTTAGGGATAATTTTTCATTGCTCACCACTGAGGTGCAAAATGATCTCGATGTTTCTGTTGTATGGATGCTCCTGTGCCAAAGTGATGTATGTGGCAGAGGCACTTTGGGCACTAGGATCTGCATCAGCCCTCAGAGCGTGAGTGGGGCTCTCCAGTCCTACAAATCATTTAGGAGCAAATAAAGAGAAGCAAATAGGTTTTTCATATTGGTGAGAACACCAGTCATGCTTGCTGGATGCGATCTTTTTCCGTCTCTACAGCACCCATCATCCCTCTGTCGCCTCTGAATGTTCTAGCTAGGCTCAGGCCCTCTCTGTGAACCCGTTAAATACATTTTAGAGTGAGATTGCCCACGGTTTCAATATTTCACAATGTCTGAGTCAAGAACCAGTGAGTCACACTTATTTGAGGGGACGATCAGTACCAGCCAGCAGACAAGCCCCTCTGACCAGCAGCTGGAAGTTGAGTTCATAAGGAGCCAGGTTGGCAGCTGGACAGGTGAAGATGGCGTGGGCACACTGCTGCTCGGAGTCCGAGACCCGGTCTTGTTTTCCTGAGGTGGCACCAAAACAGCTGGTTGCACTGTGGAGGAGAGCGATGTAGAATACAATAACAATACACAGCAGTCGTACAGTGTTGCCACAGTTATGATCGTATGTATATACCCAGTTTCGTCAGATTTCCCTCCATTTTCACTCTTGCTCGGAGTCATCTGGCCCGTCACGATGGGGGTGAGCAGCGTGGGGTAGACGATGCGGATTGCTCCGTTTTCTAATGTGGGGAGTTCTAGTGTGGTGCTTATGATGATGGACACTATATCCATGGGGCCGATTACCCCCGTGCCCACGATGAAGGTGGTTCTTTCAAGGTCTTCATCCAGGAGGAGATGTCCTGAAGCCAAAATGCAGCACATACCCACATAATGAAAAAAAAAGCATTTAAACAGACATAAGAAACTGTTTGAAAATATTATGGCGGGGAGGGGGGTTATATGTTTGGGATGCAGCATCCCCTACCTATATCTCTAAATAGCATATTTATACTCTTAAGAAAAACGTCTGAGCTCAACACAGCACAACAGTTTGCATCAGTCTTTTTGAGTTACTACAACTTCTAATGAAATTATGCTAAACCAGCAAACTACATTGGGTAAAAAGAAGCAGCTTTTCCAGTCCAACCGAAGGTGTTGTTATTAAAATTAACTTAATGATTGGCAACATAAAAATGTTTCTGTTAAGTTGATTACGCATAAAAATGGACTTGTTCCAACAGTGTCACTACTGAACAGCTGAGCCACTCCAAGCCACAACTGCTATTTGCACTTCCATTTGCACTAATGTACATATACCTTTTTCTACTAGATGTGTACATTCTTGTATATATTTGTCTTATTATCTTGTTTTATTTTTTATTAATATTTATTGTATTTTATTCTTTTCTTTCTTTAGTTATTTTATTTAAATTTTTAATTTTTCCTATTTCTATTATTCGTGCAAATTCCTAGGGCGACACCAACAGCCGAAATCAAATTCCTTGTATGTTGTGTACATACTTGGCCATTAAAGCTGATTCTGATTCTGATTCTGATTTATGTGTTATGTACCTAATTACTATCATTTTTGACACAAGTTTTTTTCGTTAGCATATTTAAAGATCAAGTTGCTTCAAAGTTAAGTGGGCTAATGAAGGGACTTAAAATCCTGACCTCAATGTGAAAAATAATTAAGTTATCAAGCCAATTTCATTAAGTTACCTGAACTTAAATTTAATTTTAAATCAACTAATGCTGAAATTTGATTTTAAATCACACGCAATAGTAAGCTGATACAATTCCCAACATCATTATGCCAACCCAACCCTTCAAAATAAAGTTTGCATGTAAAAGGTTCATCTAAATTATAAAATTAGATTTTTAATCCTGCTGTTGGGAATCAGTCCCTTGAATTACTTCTTAGACTGTATGGTATTTATCAGCATGGTGAAATGATCACGCCTTATTTTTAGATAGATAAAGTTGAATGAATGTGAATTAGATATGACAATGCTATAGTCTGATATGTTTGCAATCTTATGCTTGATTGCCCACCACAATTAAATTAATACATGCTTACTGACTTGCCTGTTCCAGGCATGTCGGAGCTTCAGGCAGCTTTTTAGAAAGAGTTAAATACATGCCACAAAAAAAAGCTAATTACTGTTAATTACTTTTACATTTAAGTCCAGCACAGTACAATCATTCATGCTCTGCAGACTGTATTAAAGACATTACTCCATATTCATGATACCACCATTTCCGATTAAATGCCGTGGACTTCAAGTTGATATACAGTATATGTATTAAGTGAATGCAATTTCAGCATTAGGCAGTAAGCCAAATCTATACATCTCCATCATCTGTCCTTTCTACCTTCTAAATGCGGATACAGAAGGGGCTTACTGTATTTGTATTCATGCAGAGACCACATTGTTACAGCAGCAGACAACACTCTGGTTGAAATGATTTGTGGTTCTACTACAGTGGTGTAAAAAGGTTTAACTGCAAGCAAAATGATGATTTTGCTCACTATCTAGTTCCATCATTAATATGTATTGTGTTGCGCGTCTTGAGCATTTCAAAGTAATTATGGGCATTTGACAATCATATAGAGTGCTTGTTCAGATAGCCCTCATCTGGGTTTTGCAAGGCTACACTGTCTGCAGAGGAGAGCACCAGTGATTACTGTCTGCTGGCAAGACCCATAAATGAATTAGGTTGATTTCTGCTCAGTAGCTGTTAGACTCATTTATTAAAATGATGGTAGGGGATAACGGGTAGCCCCAAAAGCCTGAAAAATGTAAACCCTCAACATGAATGCATATCTAAATTCTTACTCTTTAAAGGCTATGAAGTCAAACCAGATAAATATATGTGCATGTCATTGTACAAGTTTTGTTTTTTCACTGCATTGCTCTCCGTCCTCCCTCCTCACCGTTGGTGCATTGCATGTCTAGGCTGGAGCTCCCACAGCAGCCCCACTCCCGACCATTCCCGCAGTGTCCATCAAGACCAGACGCCGGGCAGCAATCCAAACAGCAGTCCTTCAGCTTCCCTCGGTTCTGGATCTGGACCCCCACCAGCCGGCCTGCAATCACAGCTTCAAAGCCCACCACAACCTCCTTTTCCCCAAGAGGGTACACAAACACACCTAGAGGAAGGGTTAGAGAAATACATGTACCCAGGTGATTCTTCGGAACTAAGCAGTTAAGACATTTAAAATTAAAGCAGATTCTTGGTTCTATAAAACAGCAGGATATTTCAAAGTCGGCTTCGCAGATCTCCTATTTAAATGAATGTACCTTTTGCTTTCAGACTTACTTAGCACCTGCTAAATAATGTAATACACTCACTTTAAAAGTTAGATTTTTTATTTCTTTACATTTAAGTTGCATACATTTTTAAGGTAAATGTTGCCTATTGTCCATCCACTGGAACTCAACTATTTAACATTTATCAGCTCTTGTGTCTTGCTATGATAAATTCCTTGTTGTCTTTCTTAGCTATTCAGCAAATACCATATTTCATCTCCTGGCTAATTACTCAAGCAAACATTTGACTGTGTTGTTTTAAAAATGTTGCACAAAAAAGAAATATGTGCTTTTTTTTTGGAAGTTGAACTACTTTTCTTATTTCAATTAGTGAATGTGCATGGTATTTGAAAAAGTATTGTATATTATGTCTGCACCTGCCAGAGGGCTATTGGTAAAAGAGTAAGTATTAATTCAACGACAGTGACAACAATCTGCTGAAATGAGTTTAAAAAAATATCTGTGTATTTGATATCAGCAATATTTCAAATATTGTGTGTCCCTCGTTCTTAATCCTTCCATCCAGTTCCGTCCATTTTTTCCACTTGTCCAGAGTCGGGTCACATTGGTGACATGCTTAGCAAAGTATAAGGTTCTTTCTGTCACTACCCAGAGCTCATGACCATGGGTGAGGGTTGACCCACTGGTAAACTGATACCTTTCCCTTCCAGCCCAGCTCCCTCTTCACCACGATGTTCCAGTACAGCGCCCACATTACAGCTTATGCTGCACTAATCAGCCTGTTAACTTCATGTTCCATTTTCTCATCACCCTTGAATTAGGATCCCCAAATCAGAAACTCCTTCACTTGAGGAAGCAGGTCTTCCCCAATCCAAGACACAATCCAGTGGTTTCCAACAGGAAACCCTGGCCACAGACTTGGAAGTACAGACTCTCATCCCGGCTGCTTCAAACTCAGCTGCAAACTGCTGCATGCCGAAGGTTACGGCTAGACTGAGCCAAAAGAACAATGTCATCTGCTAAATGCCGAGACATAACTCTGAGGTTCCCAGACAGGACACTCTTCTAACCTCAGCTGCACCTTGACATCCTGTCCACGAATCTCCATGAATGTCCAACATGAAGTTGAAACCTGCTGTGCCAAGGATACAGCACAAAGTCTAGTCTATTATAGTTTTTGGGCCTAGTTCCTAATTTAAAGTATTACCACTTGTCTAACACAACTCTAGTTGTTATTATTGAGACCTTTTTTCTCTAAAGCTCAGAGTATATGTGGCGTTCCTCATTCGTCATTTCTGATCCGTTTATCATTTTCATTGGCAGCGCAATCTTCTGGAGCTACGTCATTTGTACTCAACACTTCTCGTTACTGCTACACCCAACAAGAGGCTAGTACATCCAAATAGAGCTACTGATGCTTAGCCAAGGGCTGCAAGGTGGAGTGATAGTTAGCATCGTTGCCTCGCAGCTAGAAGGTCGCCGGTTCGCGTCCTGGACACCTGGGATCTTGCTGCGTGGAGTTTGCATGTTCTCCCCGTACAGCGTGGGTTCTCTCCGGCTTCTCCGGCTTCCTCACACAAGGTCCAAAAACATGTTGATGTTAACTGGTGATTCTAAATTGTCCGTAGGTGTGAATGTGAGTGTGCTTGGTTGTCTGTCTCTAAGTATAGCCCTGTGATAGACTGGTGACCTGTCCAGGGTGTCCCCTGCCTTCACCCTGAGTCAGCTGGGATAGACTCCAGCCCCCCCACGACCCTCGTGAGGAGTAAGAGGTGTATGTATAGATAATGGATGGATGGATGCTTAGCCCATATTAAATCTATATCTCATGGTGTATGTTATACTGTGTTGTACTATAGCATTTGGTTATTAAGCACTGTATGCTAGCTAGTTATTTCTTACAGCTCAAAAATGTCTCTAAATTCCTTAATTTTTCTAAATTTGAAGACACATTGAATTGAACTACATTGCAGTTGTCATAATTATCACTTACACACTTTTATATCGTCCCACTACTCACCTTCTACAGACTCTACGTCAGCATTGGCATATGTGAGGTGTGCAGTGATGCCCATGGAACAGCCGTTGGCACAGGACTTGATGCAGGAGGCCTTGAGCAGCAGTGGTTCCCACGTAGAGCGGTTTCTCAGCCCGGCCATCTCTTCAGCACCAGCAAGCCTCTACTGTGCTGGTTGCATAAAAACACAGGTACACAGGCCAGTGAAAAGCTCTGAACAGACAGGAAGAGGGATATGTGAGTGTGCATTTAAATTCTCTCATTTGCTATGCAGACCACAATCACACTGATCTTTGTCAATCAGACCTGATTTTTGCTGCTTGCATTAAAAGCATGCAAAATGAACGAGATCACATTTTTGTTTTGTGTATATATGGAGGCCCGATATTTATTTTTATGTACACAGCAAGTATTAGACATGTAGCCAAGCTATCTCCTGTCTTCTGGCTCTTGGCAACCGAATGTGATAGTTTGGTTATAACAGGCTTAGTCAATGATTAACATGGCAGGTCAGTACTTATTATGCTATGCATCAGTGGCTAGTATCTACAATCAGTGGCCAACCTGTATGCAAATCTATGTGTACCTACGAATAAGGTCTTACTCTTACTTAACAGCATCCAAGCTAGCTGCGAGAAGAAATAGACAGAAAACATGGTCCTGTTTTGTTTTTTAGTAAGAATTCCCTCTAACTTTCCATTTATGTAACTCAAACTGTACGCAACAGTTCGTCACGGCTGACCACTTAATAACTTTCAGCGCAACAGGTGCTGAGACCAGTTTGCAGATCACTTAGCGTATGGTTGACCGCGCAAAACTGTGAGTGTGTTTGTATGTAGCGGCTGAGCATGCACACACACACACAAGCGTGCATTTGTGTGCGCGTGTCTCAGTGTGTTTGCTGTGATCTAGGTAATGGTCTTTTCACATCTACCTTTCTAACAAGATCAACAGCCTCCATCTGGCTACTGTGCTCTCAGCTCATAACAGGCAAATAAATGCCTGGTTCGTTAAAGTAGGGCAAACTGATGCCGGCAGAACACACAAAAGGAAAAGTACAACATCGTGACCTTCTGCAGACTGTTCAGACTTTCAGGGATCAGGCAAAGCTGATGAATACGTCTGACAGACTTCAGCTTTATTAGTCAGGGGAAAAAAAAAAACACATGATGGTAAACCTATGCAATAAAAGTTTATCATGTTTGTATATGCATGTAGTTTTAATCACAGTGTAGCATCACATGATACAGAACAAATGATGTTGATGATGTACACATGCACATACTAACCTTGGAAAGTTCTGTCTAAAACTCAAATGCAGATATATATATATATAAAGCAACATCTGGTAACATACTTTGGCAAAAAAAAACAACAACAACAACAAAAAAAAACCAATGTTGTTATTCAGACTATAAGCATTAAAAATAAATCCACATCTCAAAAAGTAAAAAAAAAAAAAATCTCTATTTTTTGTGTGAGGTTTAGTTGTTCTGTCTGTGTTTGCAGTAGCATAGCTGGCCAAGAGTTAGCTCTGAGCAATGCTGCAGTCCCCCTGTGGCAGTTACAAACCCCAGATAACAAGCAAAATAATCATCCAGGAACACTTACTGTACTGTTCAGTCCAGTGTCTGATAATTTGCCTCTGCGTCCAGCCTCTGCATCACTCCACCACCACATCTGCTCGCGGGTTTCCCAGTGATACCAGGTTAGGAGTTTTCCTGGCAACAGATACTGCTCTCTCCTCTCTCTGTCTCTCTGTCTCTCTCTCTTGGTCTCTCTCTCTCTCCTCTCTCCTCTCTCTCTCTCTCTCCACAGATCCACCAGTTGCCCTATAAAGAAAGTCAATTCACAAAGCACAGTCATGTACCTGAATACATGACTTAACAACTAGAGTATCTACCATCTCCATGCACAACATAATATAAGGTCAGCTTATACATGACATATAAGAAATCCATCCAGAATCTGTTGCATCTACAGAAAATTTGCTTTTCAAATTCCGTGTCGGGCAGTCGGTAAGTACAAATTCTAAACCTTCCTTTCAGAATACTAAGAAGTCTCACTGCTGTGATCAATCACCAGCATGCAGCAGCTCTGCACAAACCTACTCTTGTTGTTACGTGAAATGTCATCTGCTTACCTGCTCTGACCCGAGCCACAGAGCTGATCACAAACTATGATCGTGAACCTGCTGTTCAGGCACAAGCTAACACACACAACGGTAAGTGAGGCAGAGCCTGCTTTTCATCCAGACAATTGGCTGTGATGGTAGCAGCGCCATAATTCATGGCTAATGGCTTGGCTGGAGAGAGGAGGAGGAGGAGGAGGTGGGGAGGGCGTTGTGCTCTGCCTCTCCCAACAGGTCAGTCAGACAGCAGCAGCAGCAGGCGTGGGTAGGTGAGACCAAAGCTTTATGTCTTCTAGGCTCCATTTTAATGGGTCCAACATGACAAAGTAAGAAAGGAGAAAAAAGTAAAGCCACACTGCAAAAAGAATATAATGATAACACATGGAGCAGCAAACAATGCAACCTCCACTCAACTATTTGTCCGTTTATTGTTCTTATGTTGCTTTTTGTGTCGTTATTATACTTCATGTTAGTCCATATCGTCTTTATGATGCATCACGTACATGAGCGACCACTTAAATAATTAAATCTGAACGTTATTTTGACAAGATAAGACATGATTGTTCGTTTCATTGATTTTTTTTTGCATTATTATTGGCAGGTCTGGTGCTGCAGGTGTGTGCATGAGAAAGAAGGACTAACCAAGGTCAGGATGATGGAACACCTTCCTCTGATACTTCAGCTGGGAAGCACTTTGCTGTTGTTTTGATGCTCATGTTGTAACTGCAATTGCATGATCTGCTTTATATACAGCACAATTCTCTTCGTATCACATATTTTGCATAGCTTTTGCAGTTTGAATAAAGTGAGTGTTTGGAGCCATAATCAGCAGAACACATATCAAACTACCATTAGCATCACACTACCACCATCACCAAACTAGTCTGTGTGTGAGAGAGGAAGAGAGATGTAGGTAGTCATTACCTCCAATCTGTGTCCGATCCTGCCCCCGTGTGGCCTTTTTCCATTTTCTTGTATCCATTTATGTCATGGTCTCCAAGGAGGCTTTAAATTGGGATTCTCATCAATTGCATACAAGCAGTTCAGCCTTTATATATATAATAAAAATAAAAATGAATGTCCAGCAAGTAGGAAAGAGATTCAGATTCATGCCAAATTTTAATGGGTTAATCTTGTGCCCATGTTCCACCTTTCTCTTTTTATTTTATCTGTTTATATTATTACTGCTGTTTTGTTGTTTGTATTGATTTTTGTTTTTATTATGTATACAAGGGAGTGTGTGAACAAGAAAATTTCATTGCAGTGTTGAACTGCTTTTTTTATGCTGCTCATGACAAATATCTATCTATCTATCTATCTATCTATCTATCTATCTATCTATCAGCTTTCACCTTTGCGCAGGACTTTAATGTGTAATTTTACCATCATACTCTGGTGGTTATGAATGCAGTTAAAGGCCTCCTAACAAACGGATGTAGCTCTCGTACTGTCCATGACCCACACTGCATCTTTTTACTGTTTTACAGTTGATTTAAATTGTCTGCTGAAAAGTTATTAGTACTTAGTATTAATTACAGCTAATATATGTAGCTATAAAGGACATAAACTACTCTCTTTGTGGTGTATTATGGACAAAACAGGTGAGTGAAGTTTAACGCAACCTTGCTAACTACCATTAGCTCACCTGCTAATTAGGTTAGCTTGGCTAGTTAGCTGTCGCCCTTTAGTTTTTCACCTTCATCTTGCACTATTTCTCTACTTCCGTATGGCAGGCTAAGCTACATGCCTTTGTTTGTTGTTATTTTTGTTGGCTGTTACTTACCACTCCTCAGCTTTGCTAGTTTAGTACAGTTGTAATGTTAAATTGCAGCTTCTAAATACAATAGCTGTTAAAAGCTACAGCTAATATAACACCGGAAGTTAAGGCTAAGCTAAACCTACATTAGCTTGAAACGGAAAATTGAAGTCCCAAGACTTTTGTAAATATTGTAGAGTATTTTCTGATTAACTTTAAGTTACACACACTTGGGTAAATTGTGAATAATTTTAAATAATAATAATAATAATAATAATAAATTAAATTAAATTAAATTAAATTGAATTAAATTAAAAATTCAAGCTACAAAATATTTTACAAAGCATAAAAATAACTTTGAAGAAAAAAAATGTTGACGTCCAATTTCTGACATTACTAAGGCAGTTCTCAATCTGCCCCACTTGTGTCTCAGAGCTTCCTATCAGTCCATGAGAGGAGCTGTTATGGGATTGTCATCTGACTCTTCATGTCAGCTTCTGAAACTTCACATTCTGCACGTCCTGAATTTGTAAATCATGTCTATCTTTTGCCTACCTTCTCCTGATCAGACTGTGTGATGGAAAATATAAAAACTATTTCATCAATTACCAGCCGCTCTCTGACTGTTGACTTGTTAAGTTAAAAGGTTCTGTCCCTCCCAGCGTTAGACATGAAGCTTTTCTTATGCTATGATTCCCTTCAGTGTTCTGATTATTTGTCATTGTTGGCATATGTGATTCTATATTTCTACATGCATATTCAACATGTGTGATAAATGTTTTAAATGAGTCTGGTGGATAATTAGCTGTGATAACCTGTTACTTAAGAATGCCCAAACAAATGCTGCTGTGTTGTTTAGTTAGTTAACTTGAATTTAGGCAGCTCAAGGAGTTAGTTTAATCTTTACTGATGCGTCTAGCAGAAGCTGAGCAATTCGACTGAGAGAGATGTGAGCGTATGTCAAACTGATGCCTTGGATGATGAGAGCTTCATAAAAACAAAAAGTCCAACCATTCTGCTTAACTCATGGCTTTTTCTTTTTTTTTAAACTGCAGCATACATGAATGACAAATTTAGCCTGTGAGAAATCCGGTAAAGATGTTGATTGCCCAGAAATGTGCAGATGAAGACAAGCTGAGCAGATTAATGAGACCTCAGTTTAACATACAAGTGAATTTGAGGCTTATTTACTTCACTCCTTCTTGTACATACCTCAGAGTTGCTGAAATTGTTAAAAATGTCCCATATTAGTAAT